GTTGATAAGGCCTTCATTTCAACTCCTTTTTGCTCTCAGTTCAGTTAAAAAAAGTCTGCAAACAAGTGTCTCAAATTTAACTTTGGCGACCAGTAAACGTAAAACGTTCTCCATTGATGATAAAATGGGCATAATCGGAAAAATTGAAAATGGATGCAATCAAGTTGATATTTACAAGGAATATAAGCTATGTACTTTTATGTGCTCGAATGGCAGGTTAGACAGGTATAAAAAGCGAAATAACAGAAATTCAGGAAAAATTATCTGAGAGTCAGGAAGTGTTTCCATATCTGATGTTGAGGATTGCTTATCAGCTAAAAATTACTAATTTTTTTTTACGCGCAAAACGAAGAGTACTGAAAAATAATACATTTTTTGCTACTGCATAATATATTTTAGTCATTTATTTGAATAATGTGTAATAAAAGGAAGGAGTTTGGGAACCTTTAGTTAATTGTCTGCGAAACGGATATAGTGAACTCCCGGTTATAGTGAACCAAAATGTCGGTCCCTTGAAGGTTCACTATAGCGGGGTTTGACTGTATAATAATACAAATTTGGTTACTAAGATCAAAAATCTTTGCTGTTGAATTTCATTACTAACATTTTTTTCTTTTTAAAGAAAAAGACCTACTCTGGTATTGAATTATTGCAAAATTTTTGTTTATATTTGAATGCCTTTTGCCAAATTGATTAATCCAATGAAACAAATATAAATAATCTGAATAAATAATTCTGGAATAATTTATTTATTCAATGGTTAAAAAAAGAAAGAAAAAAAGTTGTCTTTTGGTTTTAATACTTATTATTAGAGATATTTTTGAATGGGTTATGAATCATTCAAGGAACTTTCAAATATTTAGAAAAAGGAGTTAGCTGATTTAGAAGGTGAAAAATTTTTTCAGTCAATGGAAGTCACTATCTAAATAAAATGCATACTTAAAGTTGTGAATTTTAGAAATGAATTTTTTATAATAAATGACTAAGGTGAATAAGGTTTTTCCATTGTGTTTAATTAATTTTACTTAATGTTAACTTTTTACAATTAGAAGTTTGACACTGTTAAAAGGACCAGAGAATTTTAACGTGAATTATATCGGTGAAAGATGCAAAAATCAGAACTTACAAAAACTGGTTAAGCAATTTGTATTGGTATTAGAGCTTATCTTTTTTTTTTCGTAAAAAATTTTATTATGCATACTGTGATCTATAATTATTAAATTCTAGTAAAAGATTTAGAATTATTTTTAAATTTTCTTTTCAAACATATAATTTTTTTTCTTTTTTCAGCATCGATTGGATACTTAACTTTTATCATGCTGTTAATCATATTTCTTTTCCTGGTATTTGTAATGATGGACTATTTCAATTTATGAATTGACAAGCACTTGATATGACTTATAAATGTAAAATTTTTATCAAACAATTGTATTTTAATGTGTAAATTTTTTTGTCATTTTATCTAATGTATATATTTTAACTTAAAATCTAATTGTACAGAATCTTAGACGAATCTATATTGTGTGTTTTGAATTATAATAAATTATGAAATATTTGTAGTTTACTTTTGTGCGATAAAAAGATTGTTGAATAATATTAAAAGGTAGAAAGAACTTGAAAATAATGGCATGGTAACTAGGTTATTTCATAGCTTAACTTTAATTTGAAAATAAAAACACTTAAACTTTTATGACTTATTCAAAGTAAATGATAAGAAACTGTTAAAAATGTCACTGGAAAGTTGTACTATTTATGATGGCAAAGGTTTAATTATAACACCTATCAGCTAAAGACGTAATTTTCGTATGAAATTTTTAATTTGCAGCATAATGCTGTATATAAATCGCCTCAAACGTTATCGATAACCACATTATGAAAGAATTTACAATTTCGAAAATTTATTCTTTTAAGTTGTAGTTTTTTAGGAGAAAAACATAAAAAGAAATTGGCATAAAGCCTCTATTCATGAACGAAGCACAGATAAAGAACTTTTTCTAGGAGGAACTTTTTGAGCAATTAAACCTAACTATTTACTGTTTTTATGTCCTTCACTAACATTAATATTTAGCATAGTTCTTTATTGTATTAGTTACTGTTATTATAAAAAAAAAACTGGGTACACAATACCATCTTTTGTTTTGTTTATTAATAGTTTTTCAAATAATTAATGATAGTTAAAGTGTCTAATTACTTTAAAATGATTATGATCCTGTTTAATTTAATCCTTTCATGGCGGCTGTCACATACATGCCAGCATAAGACACTAATCTTCCACCCAGCATGCCAGAGTAATTTCTAGTTCATTCCCGGCCATCACGTTTGTGACAGTGTTTAGCAACATTTTAAAAACTAACTTTACGATCAGAATGGTAATGTATATAGGATTTGAGATGCATGTAGATTTGACCGTCTACTTGAAATAAGAAATATGACTCACATACACAAGGTTTTTTATTATGTAAACATGAGGAGAAAATGTTTCCAAATTGCATGCTGAAAAGTACGCTTTAAAATGAGTAAGGGATATTTGTTAGCATAAGTGGGAGAGTTTTATTTTCACTAGTGTTGTATTTTTTGGGTTTAAAGTTCAGCTTTCAATTATTAGATCTTATAGGTTTCAAATTTTTCGGTTTTTACTGTTAGTCAAAATATTTAACTGAACTTGAAATATCAGAAATTGTATTAAAATAAAAGGGAACAAGAAAATATATGTTAAAGGACACATTCATATTTTGGGGATTTCATGGATTTAGACTTGAGAGCAAAACACTCCAGCCCTAGACAGGACTAATCTTAAAGTATTAAATATTCCATTTTGGGAATGAAACTCCCAGCCTCAGTGATAAACACTCATTCAACTCCAGTCAAAACAATATAGATTACTAGCAATTCCCAATCTATGGGCCATGACTTGGTGAATTTACATGGGAGAAAAAACTCATAAATATCTAATAGACTTAACTATATATTTTGCTATAAACTAACAGTATGAAATTATTTTTAATTCAAGAAATAGAAAACATCGTGAATAAAATATGCCAATTATTGTTTCACAATCAGTTCTAAATTTTTCTACTTTCCTATTTCATAATTATTAGTTTTATAAAGCATTAATCTTCCAGCCTGTATGATATGAGCTTGCAAAAAAATAAGTCTTTCCACACAAAAAAAATTTGAATTTCTTTTAGTTTTTCACTTAAGCATAATTGATTGCATTATTTTCTGATTTGGGATAACAAATAATCTAGTTTTATCAGACTTGTGAAAAATAAAATAGCAGTGCCTTCTGAAATGAGTCACTAGAGCTTTTACGGAAAATGAAAATTATTTTCAATTTTGAACATTATTTTTCACGATTGCACAATAAATAAGGAAAATATAAATGCAGTTTACAAATCCTATTATTGTAGATAATTTCTGTCGTAAATGTAATGGTATTTTATAGGTAACTGTATACTTAAGATATTTTCATTCATAGGGTTTGCTCATTTTGAAAAACCAAATTTTTGTTGCAATTTACTAAAGAAAATATAATGCATGATATTCCATAATTACTGTCTATATTTTTCGAATCCTGGACAAAGAATAAGTCAAAAGAATTAACACATCACATGCCTCAATATTTAAGCAGTGGAAAATAAAAACACCATCAAAATCAATCTCACTAGTGACGATGAAAGTAAGAAGAAAGGTTCAAAACCAGTTTGATTGTCTGATGTAACTTTGTGTAATTCAAATAATCTAGCAATCATACAGGTTTTGATGTCAATCTTTACTAAAAAAAAATAGGCCTAGATTTACTGAATTTAGATTTTTTTTTCCCCTCTGACCTGAAATATTTATTTATTTACATTAAAGAAAATGTACACAATAGGAGATATTGTGTACATTTTTTTTTTTAAATATATACATTAAGTGGTAATTTCAAAACATTTTGTATTACAAAAAATTCTTACTTTGGTTTTAAAATAAATTTGCTAATATTGATTGCTGATTTTATCTTAAGAAATTGGACACACCTCTTATTAGTCA